ACTCTAGAAACTTGTGATGGCACTTAGAGTGTGTGTGTGCATAAATGTATATATTTACATGTCAGTAGACAGATCAGCTTAAACGTAGTGAAAGACACTTTATGTCTCAAGATTTTGAATTGCTAGCTGAACTACTGGTGAATTACCATCCAGCTACTGTAGACAGACCTCACTGGTAACACTGGGGGAAGTGGAACGTATTTTTTCTTCAAGAAACGAGCTAGCGAGAAGACGACCTCTCAGTTCGCCTTAGACTCTTCTGATGTAAACAAAAGTGAATATCATGGTCGTACAAGTTAATTAAAATAAAACTCTCGCTATAGAAAAGACTCTGTGAATATTTTTAACCGTGTCAGCTTTAGTAAATCTTTAAAAGTTTTTTTAAAAGATTAGAGAATTATAACACATAATAGTAATTCCTTTTGGCAAAGTGCTTGCCAAGATAATCTGTTTTATCAGCATCATTGATAAAGACCCAGTATTAACTGCTGTGACCTAGAAATAAGGGGGACATTTTTATTTCCACGTCTTCTAATTCTGCTCTAGTCAGAGGACATGGCGATATAACCACGTAAACACAAATTGCCACTACAAACTCAGGGTCTGATTTTCCGGGTGCCAACAGGCTTGGGCATCTCGGGTGACTTGAAAGCTCTGATTGTAAAGAGAGGTTTCACAGGAGGATGTGTGCCATCAGAAGTACCAGGTGAACGTATCTAGGAAATGTAGACGAAAACTTGCAGGCCTGAATTAAAATACCGTCTTTTTTTTAATATTAAAAAGAGAAAGAAAGCAGAACAAGCAAACAAAAAACCCAAGTAATGTTTCTATGGTGAGTCACCTGTGTTATCATCTGTGTTGCATTGTGATTCCCTGGGTTCTGAATAAAAATTTTCTTTGCAATGAGTTAGCATAAATTTATCAGGCAATTGAATGTCCTGGTTCTTTGTATCTGTCTGCGTGCTCCTCAGCCAGCAGTGGTTGAAATTGCACAGCTGTGAGGAGCCTATTTCTGGGGAAATAGATTTAATTGTGTAATGAAGTTCACGGCTCCACTTGGAGTATGCCCGCAAGTGTACAAAACATTTTTAAAGGGAAAAAGCTGTTAGTCTGTATAAGGCAGTCTGTATGAAGCAGCCTTACTGTGTTGCACTTACAGGAGTGGCTCAAAATGTGTTGAGCCACTGGAGCTGAGTGGTCTCCATCCTCATACAGGTCAAGGAGATGGGTACTCTGCTTTTGAGGGGACAGGTTATGGTGTTGGCGCACTGCTGAGTCTCTCTGAGGAGTTCCAAGGCTTGGCAATATACAGGGAACGCTTCTTTTCTGGAGTGGTGACAGGCTGCCTCAGGAGAGAGTTCACCTCAAGTGTATGCTTGCCACACAAAATGCTGCCCTGGAAATGCCGTAGGTTGAGACTACTTAAGATGCTCAAGCGCATTCAGCAATTATTTCTATGTGCTGCATTGCCAAAGATGGTAGAAAAATATTAAAGCAATAAATATTGCTTTAAGTGTTATTTGTTTGAACTTTGATAAATGTTTTCCATATAAATGCCACAACTCCCAGTTCTCTGCTAAAAGTCTAAACATCTCTTTGGAGAAAATTGTGATGGGTGTGATTTATACCAGATTCCATCCGGGGTTATTAGGATGTTTGTGCATAGTAGGGTTTGTATCAGCTACAAACTGGGATGTAGGCAGAATTTAAAAGTGGTGGTGTGGGTCTGTGTGTTTGTATGTATCTGTGTGTGTGTATGTAAAATACCACATTCCTACAGTGTGTTGTGCTGTCCAGCATGAAGTGTAGGCTTTGTTGTTCAGCTTGCACTACAGAATTGTATTAATTACACACAAGTAAAGGCTTGATGAAAGTGGCATTGGGTTTAGATATTAGCAGACTATTGTACCAGAATAAGGATACTTAAATGCACAGTGCTGCAGATAAGCTTGCAAGCTACAACATTTTCTGAAGGGGATAGCACGAGAAGGGCCCTGATTGTCAGTTAGTGGGGGATGAGTAGCAGAGGTGTCCTGTAAACTGGACGTCTTTCCTGTATGCTCCCAGCTATGAGTGCTTTGCAGCTCTGGGAGCTCCAGCATCAGAGGTGCTATCTACTGAACAGTCCTTGACAGACTTTTCTCATTTAAGCTTGTGTTAGTTGCTCTTTCATCCATTATAAGCGGCTGGCATCTCCGGCATCCTGTGCAGAATTCACAGCTTAGCTGTGCTATGTGTGAAGAACCTCCTTGTTTTGGCAGAGTCACCTATTTGCTTCATTTGATGCCTCTGGTTGTAGTAGAAGATGGTGAAGAGGTTTTTTCCCTACTTGCTTTCTTCATGCTATTTGTAGATGCACAGACTTCTGTTGTACGCTTAGTCAGTCATCTCTTTCTTGACTGCAGAGTCTTTGCCTCTTTCACTACTCCTCATTTCAAAGCTCTTCTGTACCTTCTGTTATTCTTATCCCTCTTGTCAGTGCCTTCCCTGAGCACTCTGGGTGTGTTTGTGTGCCCACTAGCTCTGATCTTTAGAGCAGTTGCTGATAGCACCATGTAATTGTCAAATTCAATGTTCTGAAATTACTTGGATCTCCTTTGAAACCCTCTAAAAAATTATTCTGTTTGCTGCCTTCTCTTCCTCTGCCGCTGACAGAGGTTTCTGCAAGAGACTGCCCATCACAGCAGAACTATTTAGTCTTAAGAGCCTCCAGATGAATATTGCCTGGGCCTGATGATTGTCCTTTTTCACAAGATGAACACTCAACTTACAAGTGTATGAACACTCGAGTATTTGTCCCATAACCACGTCTACTGACACCACTGCTCAAGCCGGTTCCTCCAGCGTCCCTTGTCAAGAGAGGGTCCAACATGGAAGTTGTTCTGAGACCTTCCATCAGGTACTCAGCAGAGAGGCAGAGTTAGATTTATGCGTCTGTGGCTTTTATCTCCTGGCTGTGGCTCTTAGGTTTTGATCTCCTGTAGCCCCCAGACTCCCTCGCAGACTTCTTGAGTTGTTTGGAAAAGGATTTCTTAATCTCTCTAATGGGGAGGTGGGTGGAGGTGCAAAGTGTTTGGTGGGTGTGGATTGAGGATTGACAGTTGTGGAGGACTTTTAATTCTGTTACTTTTCACAGGTTTTCATATTTCCTTGTTTGATCTAAAAATAATTTTTATTGGAAAAAATGTTGTCTTTACTCTTACCTTGTTGCCAAACCACACCATTTGTTCTGTATGGGGAAAAGGGACAAGGTCCCTTTGCCGTTGCCCGTGTTATGTTCTGTGTTACATTCTGTTGCTGATGTTTCTCCAGCTCAGCTGCAGGAAGGTTGTTAGCTCTGATGCAGGACGGCGTTACCACGTCCCCGCAGGTACTGGTGGTGAACCTGTGCGTCAGCACTTCTTGGGCTCTGCCACCCCGGCCTCAGCAGATGACGTTTTGTACCAGACACTTGTGGTCCGTATGCCTGTAGGACAGGTAGCGGTGTGTGTATGTACAAGCACACAGAGCAGTGTCACATCTGATTTGTTACCATCCAGTGGGAGAGCATAACCAGAGTGGATGCACCTGACAGTGCCGTACTTCCCCGGGGCCCCTTGCAGACTGACCCGTGAGGTATTATCTTTCCATGGAAGCATCTTTCTGGCACCTTTGCATCTGCTAAAGACATCAAATGATCAGCAGGCGTTTAAATATTCACTCTCATTTTGTCCACGCCTTTTATTAAAGTTCATATAATTCAAAGAGGCTTTTAAATGGTCTGTGACTTAATTTATTCATTAAGGAATTCAAGCAATAAACAGCCTGTGTTTTGGCCTGATGCTAATGCGTTTTCTTTTTACTGTTGCAACTTGCAGGGATGTCTGTCTCTTGCTTTAAATACCAAAACTCTGTGTGCTCCTTGCTGCAGCCCTTGTACCTTGGCTGCCTGCTCGCTGACTTGTCAAATCACTAATGAACCTGCGCTTCTCCCTCTTCGGGCCACATTCTGCCCTCAGCTGAACTTGTTCAGGCTGAGTTGCTTCAGAGGTATTTCACTGTGTAATTTTTGGCCAAGTTGCTTACAGAAGTCTCACAATATTGCACCTGGCTCGGTTAATTTTATGCTAATTAGGCGTAACTCTTCCAGCAGCAATCCTTTCAGCCAGTTTACACAAATCCTCTATCAGTCAACTCTGTGTGCTTCTCACCTCTACAAACTCTTGCGAATTGGCTCTTTTACTACCTGTGTAGGGAATAAAAGCCACTTGTGTGGCACGGATTAGCAGTGTAGCATGATCAAGTCAATGGTAAGTAACGCTGGGAACTATTTAACAGACAGCAGAAATGTTTCCAAGTTGGTTTCTTACCAAGCAGCCCAAGCGCTTATGTTGGATAGTAACGTCAGAGCATTGGTACTGCTATGTTAAAGAGGTGTTTGGAAGTCTTTTTGGGTAGGTATTCCCAAATGAAGAACCCAACCTCTTTAGGCATCTTCAGAAATCTCTTAGCATTTTTTACTCATTTTGGGCCTCTTGGATTTAATAAATGGAAGAGAATACCTCTGTGTAAGAAAGAAAATGTGTATTATAAAAGTAAATTACAGGCAGAGGTCCTGGCTTTATTTTCTGTCTTCTTAAGAGGCAAGGAGTGCTCTGTAACTGGAACGCTTTCTGCATAAATCACTGCATATGCTACGTGTCTTAAATGTGAATGGAGGACTGACAGTTTCATGTTCTCCAGTGGTATGCGTGTGGTTATAGAAAAACACTACGTAGGATGCTCGAAACGTGCAACAAGTGCCCCAGTCTATTGGAGCTCTGAGGGAGTTGGGTGTGGCACTGGGGAGGGTGCCTCATTGCCCCATGGACGTGGAATGACGTGGGAGTGGCTTGCAAATGTTTGGAATAAGGGCTTTGGCAGTCCAGGGGAGGAACATAGAAAGCTACATGTTAGAGGAGAATTCAGCTGAATTCAGCTTTTCTGTTGGTAAAATTGGGTACAGACATGGGCAAGAAGTGTGGATGCCCAGTAGGGGAATGGACTGGTGGTTCTTTTGACACCTGGTTGGGAAGGTCAGCTCTTTGCTGGTCACTTCAATCTTAAAAATCAATGCTTTACAGCATCTCACTGGAGGTTTATAGAGCAGGTCACAGACTGAGAAATTGCAATGCTGATGACGGCAACAGAAAAGAAGATATCACCATCTAAATCCTCCTTCTTTTACCACCAGAGAATCATATTTTAGAAGATGTAAACAAATGTGTCATTGCTCTCCAAGAAAAAGATGTTGATGGTTTAGACCGCACAGCTGGTGCAATTCGAGGACGTGCTGCTAGAGTCATTCACGTTGTCACTTCTGAAATGGATAACTACGAACCTGGAGTCTACACTGAGAAGGTGTTGGAAGCAACGAAGCTACTGTCCAACACAGGTAAGGGTCGGTTACTCCCAAGATACCTGAATTCATATCGCTTACAAGTGCACGGGCAACCAAATACTAATGTACCTGTGAGATCTATTAAAGGCTCCATTTACATACTGTAATGAAAATTAGTGGGAGTTATTTGCAGAGTTGTTGCAAAATGAGAAATGTAATTTTGCTCTGTTGACTGGCTTAAAATTCAGCCGTGCACAAGGTCTCCCTGAATGTGTTTGCAGTCACTGACTGAGCTGTGGACAGCTGAAACACTGGGGAATGAGTCCCAGACAGTGAACCAGGGCTTGAAAGTCGTGCTGGTTGTCTTGCAGTATTGTACCAGGCTCTGTCACTGTTGAGGATCCAGAAAGAAGTTTTCTGCTGCATTGACCCAGTAGATTAAATTTTGGGTTATAATTGAGGGTAAATTTTGTAAAATATTTTTGTAACTCGTAAAGAGACATTGTAGATTGTAGTCCCCCAGTCCAAACAATAAATGAGGGTGTTTTGCTGTGAACCTAGCTGGTAACATCCATATAGGGTAAGGAATGACTGTGGTTGCTGCAATGAGTGCTGTGCCAACTATTAGTTGTTGGTTTTGCTTTAATTACAGCTTAGATGAAGAATCAAGTGTGACACTGAAGAAAGGAACAGGCTGTAAAAGGCTCTGTGATGTTCTTTTTGGGGTGCAGTGAGTCACTGAAGTACAGCAGTGCAACCTGCCCTCTTCCAGTACCTTGTTAAACTTGAGCTTCATGATGGTAATATTGGGGTTTTTTCCCCCAAAAAATATGTACATCTATAGAGGGAATATTAAACAAATGCTTAATATTTTATCCCATAATTTCTAACTGCTTCCCCAGGTATTTTCTCCTTATACACTAGGAAGGATGTGATACACTTTTCACTGTCTAAGGGGAAAAAAGCAAATAGCAGAAGAGTAAACAGAAATTGAAGTGGACGTAAGACTTGAGCTACATATTGTTGTACTTCTGTAACAAATGTTTTGGATTTAAATGAAGCTGCAGAGTTTTCAGTGCTAGTTAACAACGAGGCACTCACAGGTCTTTTATGGGAGCGTGTAGCACAAAATGGCACTAGGGTGGGACTGACTGTGATCCTGTGCTCTTAATTCAGTTATGCCGCGCTTTACTGAACAAGTAGAAGCTGCTGTGGAAGCACTGAGTTCAGACCCTGCACAGCCAATGGATGAAAACGAATTTATCGATGCTTCGCGACTGGTGTACGACGGAATACGAGATATCAGGAAAGCCGTGCTGATGATCCGGGTGAGTGCAACCTAGTTAAAAAGCCTTCTGGATTTCCACTCACTTTCCAGCACCTTTACTGAACTGACATGTATCAGTGTTATTGAGAGCAGACAGCGTAAGATTTTCGTTTAGCTCATATTAACATTCTGAGTCTTACAAACTGCTAATCACTCTGTGGAGTACTTCAGAAGTACGTTTTGATTCAAATTCATTAAACAGATCTAAGCAGCAATGATAGCCAGAGTTGTGATGCTAAATACCCTTCACGCATCTCTTGTAATATCATGTTAATGCCTTGCTTGTTAATGTGTGGAAATCAGTGACCTTTGATTTAACAACAGCAAGTGGCTTCTTAACTATTAGATGCTTTTCGATGGTTTGAGAGCTTAGAAGTAAAACCCGACGGCTCTTTATTAAGTAAATTTTGGGAATTAATTGTAGTTCGTCAAAAACAGCTTTAGATGAATTCAGTCCGTAGTTCCTAGAGCATGTGGTTTGTTAACTGGCTAACCTCGGTAAACAGGGACCAGTTCAGAGAGGCTTTGTCTCCTGTGCTTGCGTGTTTCAGGTGCAGTGAGCGTGACTTGGAAGTCCTGATTTCTGGTAGGTCAGGCAGCGCTGGTCTGCAGGGAAGATGCAGAAGGGCTCCTGCAGTTGATTGAGGGATGCAGAAAAGAAAGTTCTAGTTGAGGCTGACCTATGGGGATATTTCTTGAATCTTAGCATGGTAAAAACGGGCAGGAGTCAGACACAGCAAAAACAGATGTAGAGGGTTTATTCCTTTTTTTCTTTCTTTTTCCTTGTACCCCTATGACTCAAATATAAATGCCTTCAGGAGAAACTGTCTTTATCTTTCAGAATGGTAACCATGGTAGATGCATTTTGGTGATAAGTAAATTAAGGACATACAGCCCCAGAATATATGTGATTACAGTAACCATTGCAATAGTATCTTCCGTGTTTGCTGCTTAAAGCAAAGAATCAGATGGAAAATCAGAAGAAAAGCTGACAAGCACATATGTGCTCTCCATAGAATTTTTTTCAGACCTAAGCTTAGGCTTTAAAGACAACCAATGTCAGATGAAGATATCAGGGCTTTCCTGCTATGCAGACAAACTAATTCGATTCACCCCCCGCTAAAGTCCTTGTTATTCAGGACATGCCAGCACGTCTGCCAATTCCACGTCGTCAGTCATTAGCCGAGCGGGTGATGCCAGGAATCCTGACGTTTCCCCTTGCGCCGCGTCTCTGATGTCAGGGTGCCACAGCTTCATTGCAGCTGCCAGTAGCTAAAGGCGGCTCGCTGGTGACACATCAGTGACTTACAAAAAAGTTAACATGTTAGTAGTTGTTGTCCAAAGGGCTGTAAGGTCTAGAATGTATTTAGGATAAGAGAGCCATGCAAATGGAAATGCCAGACCACCACTTCTCCAGGGCTTTGTCTCAAACTGGACCACAGGAGTAACTGCGCTCGCAGGGGGATGCTGCTAAGCTTGGCTGGGGCAAACGAGCTGATTCAGTTGAAACTTTGCCCAGTGGCACTTGTTCCTTACGGGAACCAGATGGAAAAGTCACTCAAACACTTCACTGTTGTGTTTCTGCAGTGTATTTTCAAAATGAAACTCTTACTCTATCTGTAGGTTATTGAAGTAAAGCTCTTTTCTCCCTGATCCCCAGGCAATTTCTCATCATCCCCAGAGGAGTTTTTGACCTTGACGACAGGTTGAAGGGCAGAACTACTCTTTGTATAGCCCAGGTTGTTTGGGCTTTGGGATGGAGAAGGGGGTTTGAGAATCAAACAGTTTCTAAAGTTGCAGCAGAACTCTTTTCTTTGTTTTTTTAATTTTTAAAATATTGATACACTGAGTTAATTATTAGTATATGTCCTTATGCTGATTTTGTGGATATTTTCTTTTTCAAGGCTTGGAGAGGAGATGGTGGCTGAAACAATGTCGGCATAGTCACCTTTGCTTTTTGGCAACTATTTTGCTTATCCTTCTTCATTTTAACTGTGTCACAAGATGTCTGTATTGGAAAACAAGTTTGTAAAATTCAAATCATGGGAAAGAAATCTGAAGAACAGGGACTTTATTTGCATCTTATCGGTTAATCACAATTTATTGCATTGATCAGTGAAGATCTTTGCTGACCCAGCTCTGCAAAATTGTCATCAAGAGCCACTCCAGGCAACGATGTAGTATTTTGACAAACATACTGTTTAAACTTGATAAGCTTTACAAAAGTTCGCCAGCTATAGACCGGCAGTAGCAAAAATAAATCCTAGGCAAGCAAGAACTAGGTCAGATGTGTTTAGCCTGCAGCATAAAAGCTGGCCCTTACTAGCTAAAAAATTCCAGCTTTTCCTGGGGGATAAGAATAAATTTCGATACATTTTATCTGTTGTTAATTTAGTCGATGCTTTGATTCATAATTGTGCTAAAGACAACGTCTGTGGTTTTGAACCAAGCCTTAAAGCTGTGTGTAATTTTAACTTCAGAATCTCAAGCGAAGCTTTTACATTTGACCAAGTTGCAAGAACTTTTTTCTACATTTCAAACCTGAGTGTGTTAGTGTCCTGACAAATCTCAGATGTTTAGTTACTTGTATGTAATTTTGGGGATCCCTGTGGTGTTTAGCATGAGCTAAACAAGCATATTTAATCACACGTGTTCACAAGCTGGATAATTTACTTTTTTGTTGAAAATGTGAAATAATTTTTACATTCTTTCCATTCTGTCTGCTTGAAAAACAGTCTTCTTGTTGATTTTTGGAGACACAAAATCTGTTGTTTGACTCAGACTGAATTACTCTTTCTCAGACTCCTGAAGAGTTGGATGATTCTGACTTTGAGACTGAAGATTTTGATGTCCGAAGCAGAACAAGTATTCAGACCGAAGATGATCAGCTCATTGCTGGACAAAGTGCAAGGGTAAGGAACAAATCTGAGCATTACAAGACTGTGACCCGCCTTCAAGAAATGGTTCAACTCGTCTTTGAAAATCCAGGTTAAATTTTTGGTGGCGATGGTGAAGGTGTAGGATCAGAAAACTGGCGTTCGTTGTTTCCAGTTTTCTTCTGATGAGGTTAAGTGAAATGCTGCCTGTGTTGGTCTGAGGGACGTCAGAAACATCTCAGGTTTATTTTGGATGTTCTGAAAGATCAAAATCCTTTTAATACCGATGAACTACTTTATAGTTTGACATTGTTGACGTTGTAGGCGCTGCCATTTAATTAAGCGAGCTCCTGCAGGGAGATACGGGGCAAATCATTCCACTGTTCTAATGTGATTTTCAACAGGGAAGTACTAAGTCTGTGGGCAACAAATAGGTAACTCTACAATTCAGGCATATTTGTACAAAACGTCTCCTCATGCACGTGTAGGTGTGTTTGGCCGCTGAACATTCAGTCATGGCAATGCTGAGCTTAAAAATGAAATCATTTCAAGTAACTGTATTTCCTCTGACTGTTAAAAATGAAAGCATTGGTAAGCAACAGATAATTATTAATAGGTAAAAGCTTAAAATCAGTACATTGAAGGAAAAACGGGCTTTACCTATCGTTTTTCTTTGACATGTCCCCTTCTGGATCGATAGCAATTTACACTCTTGGTAAAGTGCCACACAAGATTTTTTGTGAAGGCTTTTCTAGCCTAAAACCAGGCAAGAAGCAGCCAGGCCTTGTTTATCAAACTTCTGCCATGTTGGCTTTGGCATTATACTAACTGAGAGTATTTTTTATGCGCTCCCTCCTTGTACAGGCACTTTCTATTCCTGTCCCTCCCTCCCCTTTTACTTAAATGCAGACATTTCTGATTTACCTTTTAGCAGGGCTGCTGCCAGAGGCTTTTCTGCAGACTCCTTTTCACCTGCTCCTGAAGGCATGAATGCTCCTAGTATTTATGAAGGCAAGGGCATTGACTCTCGTACAGGCTGTAAACCTACTCTAATAGATTTTATTCAGGAGTAGGCACATACTCTTTTATTTTCACTTACTCTTTCCTCAGTATGCATGTTTCAAAATAGCACATCTAGTTTTTGCAGGAAAGAAACTCATAATATTTCTTCTGTGCATTGCAACACTGAAAGATACCCAAATGGATTTTTCTTTTAAAAGTCTTACATTTTGTAGAAAAGGCAAGTCCTGCCTCCTCATACAGTTTTTCTTTGATGGATTGTAATATCTGCCTAACTGGTTCGGTGTTTTATCATGCAAAATGCCTGTGTTTCATATGTCAACTTGTCTTCCTGGGCACTCTTTCTTAAGAAAGAGCATAAACTTTGGTTCAGAATGGAAGGAAATGCTTCTATAAAGACTCTAAGTAGAGGATTGCTATTGAAGTTTTATCCCCCATCTATATGACTTAAATGGGTTATTAGTGAAATGTTGAAAAAGCCTGCTACAAGTGGGGGCATAAGGCAATGTGAGAACTCTCTCTCTTCCAGGCTATCATGGCTCAGCTCCCTCAAGAGCAAAAAGCTAAGATTGCTGAGCAAGTCGCAAGCTTCCAGGAAGAAAAGAGTAAATTGGATGCTGAAGTATCAAAATGGGATGACAGCGGTAATGATATAATTGTTCTGGCAAAACAAATGTGTATGATTATGATGGAAATGACAGACTTCACCAGGTGAGTCTTTCTAATTTGTGCGCACAACTGGCTCAGTTCTCTCAGAACTGGCTGGGATGCTGATCTTTCAATGAAGTATTTTGCAAGTACTCTTAAGTCTTACTTGTAATTTCCTTTAAATGGTACCCTATTAAGGCCTGTGTATTAACTTGGGAGATGCATTGCTATGTAGTGACTGGGTGGTAATAAGTGTTTAAATTGATCTGTAGATACACAGCAGTTATTGCCTGCCTTTCTTTCTTAGGGGTGATTTTTGTCCCATGAAATACATATATATATATATTTGCTCAGTTCCTTACAACATTAAATTCTATGAGCTTCTTGATATTGCTATACTGCAGAAATAGTTCCTAGTGCAGTTATTTGCAAAAGAAAGAGAGGGCTTTTGATGCCTTTTGAAATTTATTTGCTAGATTTTATACAACACTGTTTTTTAAACTTGATGTTGCATTCCATGAAGAATGCAAATCTGCCGTCTAAAATGTTATCTCTCATCATCATTAGGTTGCTTAAAATAGTAAAATTTAAGATGCTTTTATTCTTAGATGTTCTCTAAATATGGGGAGGGGCTGGAAGGGGGAAACGGTCTTGAAAATGAAGGTGCTGTAATGGTTGCGCCTGCCTATTTCTGTGCAACCGTTTCCATGCGGTTTGGGTGAGGAATCACTTCCAGTACTGCATGGAACAGGATTAGTAAAGCAATATATAGTTCACTCTTCTGGTTTTCTGGTGCTAAAAGGTAGGCTCGGTTCTGTTTTATAGAGGTAAAGGTCCACTGAAAAATACGTCAGATGTGATTAGTGCAGCCAAGAAGATTGCAGAGGCTGGGTCAAGGATGGACAAGCTGGGACGGACTATTGCTGACCATGTAAGTCATAATTCATTTTCATAAGCCTCCAGCATAAATGAGCAATAGGAGATCTTTTGGTACTGCAGACATGATGAACAGAAGAAAATGTGTTTGGTTTTGGGGTTTTTTTAACTGTTTTTCCAGATTGGCTGCTGGAAAATTCTAGCCTTTCCTTTTGAGCTGCTCTCCTGCCACCCTAAGAAGTGTAAGCAGCTAAATATGTCCAGCAGTAACACTGGCAGCTCCTTGGCTTAAATCAAGCACGTACCATTTTAAGGTAGCAATATGCCAGCACAGCTTCATGTCACATAGTATCTAGGCCAGTTTCTCTAACTGAACGGGACTGAAACTGAATTTGTGTCACTTCTGCCATGCACAGAATATGCCCAATACTTTCCACAGCAATGACGAGTCTGCATACACAACACCATAATTACAGCACGTGGCCTGTTGCACAACCTTTAATATTATTTTTGAGACAGCTTTTCAATACTAACTATTTTCAAATGCCCCATGGACTGAATGGTGAGGTTGTCAAAACTCTCCAGGTTTTTTTTCGTTGTCTGCTCAGAGTCGATGAAGACTCTGTGTGAAGTGACCCAAGCATTCTCTGCTCCGTCACAGCTTGTTGTGCTGTATGTACAAAGGCATTTGAAACAAATTCTGTAGGATTGAATGAGTATGGACCAGCTCGGGGTTTTATGCAACGCATCTGCCCATCTTGAGTCACCTCAGAGACTGGGTTGGGCCAAGCAAAAGTGCCTTGAGTCTTGGTCCACACCCAAATTGCAGAGAAACATCAGCATTAGTAATAATTTTCTGCCTTCAAGAGAAAACCTGAAATGCAGGTAGGTTAAGTGTGAGATCATGGACTAAACTTCATTTTGTACAGCTGTCTCCTGCGTTTCAGTCCTTCTCTGAATGTCAATTCATAATGCAAAGTTTTAAATAAAACTCTGTCACTTTGGAAGTAAATCTTTGTAATGCAGATCTCTCTTTACCTGTTGCATCCAGAGGATGTTGTCTTCACCCTGATTTATTAATGATGCGATAAGAAATGTTCAATGGGGATTTAAAGTTGAAAAGTGCTTTTTAAAAGGGGTCTTCTTGCTATAGCATTTTGACAACCGTATTTCTGGAAGAATCAGGTGTGCTGCTGCTGTAGGTAAATGAAACAAGGAGCAGTTTGTCTTGCAGATCTCAGAGGATCTTGGGCTGAAGGTTTGCAGTGGTTTTTTTTTAATTCAGAAGTTTTATGCAAACTTGGTGTATGGTTTTCTGCACTGAGCCATTTCAAAATATACAAGAAAACGAAATGGCTCCTTCTAGTAGAAGCAAGGTCCTTAAAAATGTAAAAGATTAAGCACATATGTGAAGATAAATATGAGCAGGACTGTACAGTTAGTCATTTTGACAAGAATATAGCTTTTTTTTTTCCAACTCTATACTCTACTAATACTTTCAGCCTGCATATTTCATTAGATATGCTTACATACTCTTTAGAAACTTGTAGTGATCTGTTAATGTAGAACTGCCTGACAGTTACAGAGGACATACAGTGCAACCGTTTCAGTGGAGCACTAATGCCTTCCTGTGCCTAATACGGGCTTTTAACAAATGGATGGGTTTTTATGTCCTGTTCACCATGTGACACCGAGTGAATCATGACCCCTTGTGTTAGTGTGTCAGGAACTCCTAACTCCTGCCGTCAGGCAGTTTTACAGCACATTTTCTTTGAAACCATAAAAGCTATTATCCAAGGTATTTCACATCTGTTGAAAAGTGTCTAGCCATCAGCCGGCAGATTTTCCCAAAGGTGCTCCTGCTCCATCCTTCACTCAAAGCAGCAGCCTGACTATGGGAATATGAAGAAGTTATGAGTACCACACAAGTGATTTGCAGCAAGACAATTATTTTCCAGATTATTTTTTTACCGATGTTGAAATATTTGCAAAGCAAAAGAAAAATTCTGTTGCTCTTTCTCTTTGATAGTGGTGGGAGGGTGTATCGGTTTCTTACCATTACATGGAAGGTTGCTGGGGGGAAGCGTAGGGATTGCCCCACTTCCCAGAAGAGCGCTCCAGCGGGCTCTTGCTGTCAGGATTGGTCTGGGGATGTGCAGGCTGGTCTGGGGATGTGCAGGCTGGTCTGGGGATGGACAGGCTGCTCTGGGGATGTGCTGTGGCCAGAGGCTGGTGTCGTCCTGGGTGACAGCTGTTGCCACGTGCCTGTCCTGCTGTAGTAACTGCTTCCCTCAACGCCTGCTTTCAGCTCCTGCGACCAAACAGCGCCGAGCCTTGTGGTTACATAGGGCTGGTGGGGGCATTTTATTGTGAATTATTGTTACCCTAAACTGGAGATACAGTGGGAGGAAGAAAAGTCTTGGCAGTTGCTTGCTTACACACCTACCAGACATGTAGGGATGGGGGTTGTGTGGCTGTTTTAATCAGCACACATCGTAGGAGAGCTCTTCTGTCTTTCCATGCCCCTTTTCTTTGCAAAAAGGGAGAAAAAGGGGATTCTGCTTCTCCACAGGCTCAGCTGGGGTGGTAGGAAGTGAATGTGCGTGTGTGTTTGCTCTGTCTGAGATGGATCCTGGATTTGACTTGGAGCAGCCAGCTTAGCTTTTTCCACAACCACCATTGAGTCTGTGGCAGCATCTCAGTTTGGAGGTTTGGGCAAGTGGGGATGTCCCCCAACACCCGTTTGTTTCCATCCCCGATGTAGCTATCTGCTGTGACCGTGCTGTGGGAATCCTCCCAAGCTCTGCAAACAGGGCTTTTTGTGTCTGTGGCTCTTGTAGGTTGGTACAGTAATGTAATCTTTCTTAATCAGTGTTGAAATTGTTGCCTTTTGGGATTTTTGGTTTTTATCTGGGTGTTCCTGCTTAGGAAAGAACAGGGCTCACACAGGCATCTGCAGCGCCTTTTGTTGATATTCTTTTTTTATCTTGTGTTACATCTCTATTCAAACATCATCTGTCTTAGAACTGAATCCTCTATTCTGCTCATAGAAATAGCACACACAGTGTAAGATGTGGTTTTCCAACTCACGTCACATCGATACATACAACCGAATAATATTTCCTATTCCACTGCTTCCCTCACTAATGTTCCGCTGCCTCCTTCAGCCATTGGTAAACACGTGGCAGCCCCTTTCCTTGAGAGTGTCTTTCCTTAAATGGTTTCCATAAACTCACATCCCATAAAGTACCTTGAATTGTTCAGCTGTCCTTCTGACGTGCCATATTGTGCATTTGTCAACATTCAATTCAATCTGCTGCTGTGCTGCTCGTTCACTTTGTTAGATGAGCTGTTTGGGAGATGGAGAGCGTTTTCCAAAATGGTAATTTCAGCTTTTCATTAGCGTTTTGGCTGTTGCTATTTGTGGACTTTCTCTGAAACATCTTGTACTGCTGACTAATATTGATTAGCTTAAAAAATTAACCTGCAAGCTTTGCTGCTTTGTTATTCAGAGTTTTCACTTCACTGATGGAAGCAGCGTGTCTGTGTAAGAGGTGCAGATACTTTGGGTGTTTTCGTGAGCTTTCCTTGGGAATAGGAGGGTGAGTTCTGTTGGTTTATGGACACATAGGGTCAGATGCCCATAAAACCCATTCAGATCTCCATAGCCTGTGTTACACAGCCTGATCTGCTTGTCCTAGCTTGCCAGAAATCCTGTTGTAGTGCATTGTGTGTATGTGTGTGCTGCCTTAGATCACAGCTCAGCACTCTGCCATACAGAGGCATCTCTATATGCAACATGCAGTACAGCTGTTTTCTCTCTGCTGTGCTGAAATACCACATTGGCTTTAAAAACCCCACTTGTTCTGGCCCTGAAAAAAGCGAAGTTATTTATTATTATTTAAGGTTATTCTTCCAAGCGTACCATGTATATTGTGATTATACTTGACAGTTCCATTGTAGAGGATCAGGGTACCGGATGAGATGGGATCTTGCTGTGAAGAGGGGGGAGTGGATCAGAGCTCTCAGATGGTGCAGCTCTCTGAACCTCAGCAGGGTCTGGTCGGTGGGAAAAGCAAGCAGGTGCTGGGTGAAGAGAAGCAAATGCTGCTTAGAGCAAGACTCTCCTCTCCTTGTCACACTGGACACTGGTAAATTGTGTCGCCGCTCGTGGTTTCTGTGGTGGTTTTGGTGCTTGTCTGGAGGCAGCCGGTGCCAGGCATCCCCAGGACAGGTGCTGCAGGGGCAGACCTGCACTGGAGGGCAGGAGCAGAGCGAGGTGTGCCCTGCTTGCCGTTGAGTCAAGCTAAGCCTTGGGCGGGGAAAAGTGTTTGGATTTTGTATGCGAGTGCAGGTGTGTATGGGGTGCTGGAAAGCCTGCATTTAGAGATTGGGGCTTGTGTGCCAAGACCCTGGATTTAAGATTTAGATCCTGGATTTTAGATTTAAGGAGTTTCTGGATGGGGTGCAGCTGTCTAGGAAGGATGGAGATCACTGCAGGGTCTGCCTTTGGTGCTCCTGCCATCAGAGTATATCAAAGGCTGTTGTCCTGGGCACTGCTTGCAGCGCAGCCAGTGACATCTGGAGGTCAGAGCTGGCCAACGGCCCCAGTGTTTACCCCACTGGGAGATGTTTGGTGCCCCACACTGGGGGGCAGGCAGCCCTAGGTGCCCCACTAGTGCTGCACACACAGGGCAGGAGTGTGGCACGCGTGCCCTTGGGTTTATTCAGCGGCGTGGAAGTCTGGTGGGCACAGGGCTGGAGGAGTTCAGTGTGTGCCAGCTGCTCCATCCACTTGTCTTCATCCAGAGCGTGCCGGCAGATCTGAGGTGGCCCGGTGTTCTTTGGGGGAGCGATGCTGGCCACCGTGCTCGCTGCTGTTTTGAAAGGTACTGCAGGACTGGCAGAGGGAGTGAAAGGCTTCCCGAAGCCTTCTGTCTTATGCTTGCAGATCCCGCTTTGGACTGTGGCTGCCACTCAGCAGGGCTCCTCTTGTTTTGCAATGCAGCGTGAAACTGGCTCATTAATCACCTCACGGCTCGGCTCTGCAGCGCGAGGGATGGCCCTTCGCTTCTGTCCGAGAAAACAGCTTTCTGAACTGCACTGCAGTCCCCGGTACCTTCATAGTCTTTCAATTGCAAAGCTGAAAAAGTTACTTTTATCTTACAGATGAGTGCTTCAGCGAGCACTTTAAAAGTTTTATTTCATGCCTGGTGACAAATCTAGTTTTCACACTGCTAAGAAATGGGAGCAGGAGTCAGGAAAATATCTACTTTGCTGGATGTAATTGAGTAACTATCGGGTTCATCATTTCCTAGCTTAAAATACTTAAGATTGGAAATTGAGGCTGGGTTTGGTAATGTCTGCTTGAGATCTTGGATATCAAATCGTTGCTGCTGTGTCCTATACAGTGTAGAGGAAGAGCTTTTTGTAGTTAACAAACCTGCTCTGGAAAGGTTAGATAGTCCTCTTCCTCCTCCTCCTCCTCCTCGCAGGGAGCTCAGGGGCAGCCATGCAGCTGAAAGGAGCCCCAGGGCTTTTGTCCAGCAGCTGCCCCTGTGTTCTGATAGCCCGTGTTTGTTGCTTCTGGTTTTTCATCTGTATTTGGTGATGCCCATGTATTGCTCAGTTGTCTTTGAAAAGCAGAGCTCAGCAGCATGGGGAATGATCTCTGGAGCACATTCACTATCACAGCACAGAGCCGTTGGTTTTCTCCCTACATGATTTCTGTTCCGGTTTTCATGATTGCCAAGTAAAACTTCACCTTTGTTTTTCCAGTGCCCCGATTCTGCGTGCAAGCAGGACCTCCTGGCCTACCTGCAGCGCATCGCGCTCTATTGCCACCAGCTGAATATCTGCAGCAAAGTGAAGGCTGAAGTTCAGAACCTCGGCGGGGAGCTGGTTGTGTCTGGGGTACGTCTGCACTATGACATGGCCGGGTCGGGCGGTTTGTCGTCCAGGGCTAGCAGTTATTCCAAGCGAAGATTTTATGCTAAGCATGATAGAATATAGACAAGAGGGTGTGGAGCATTCAGAGTTTTAATGCATGCAAAGTTTATAACGCTGCTTGCACTGCCTTGTTCTTGGAGGAAATGCTTACTCTTTAAAAGGGGGCAAAATACACACTTCACTTTTTCTTACTCAACTGTCTTTGGAGACAGATTCACTTTACCTTTGTGTCATCTACTGTTTTTCCAAGCTGTTTTTCACTCTTACTGAGGTTAAATCACTTTAACCAGTATAGCTAAACTTAACCCCATGTCTCTGCACGGCCTTGGAGCATGCTGGGGTCCTGCAGTGCTCCAGAGATGTTAATATTTCAAAATAGCTGTGCCCTGAAGAGTGCTGGGATTTTTAGTGGCTGCTCTGTTTTGTGACAGCTGAAAGCTGCCGCAGGCCAGCCTGCTTCCTTACTCTAGCCATTACTTAGCAAATAATTTTTTCACTGTAGTTCAAGAAATGCTTCCTCCTAAGAGAAATCTGTGTGACGGATGTTTGGGGCAGGGAAGCAGAGCTAAATTCTCAGTTTTTTCTGGCATATTCTTCCATGCCCCAGGCTGGTATGTTTGATCACTGGGGCTTTTGTCCATCCGTGTCTGAGGTCGGAGGTTTGAGGAAGGGACAGAAGTGGCTGATAGTCAGTCCAGTATTGCTACGTGAATCTTTAAAACCAAATGGAAAACAACTTATCCCCTCCCACCACCCGGATATCTCAAGTGTTCAAACGTACCAGCACATCTTCTTTCCCCGCAAACAAGCTGGAATCGTTGAAGGAGTGCTTTGGGACAGCCGCAGTGGTGGGGGCCTGCAGCAGTGGTGGGGATGGACCCAGAGCTTCTGCTCAGCACCTTCGCAAGGGAAATGGGCCTCTCTGCTGCCGGCCCCACGCACCCAGGGTTCAGCACAGCGGAGCCGAGTGATGAGATGTAATGAAACGTGTGCTCTGTGCGTCCCTGCTGCGTCCTGATGTCCTGTTAGCCGCAAGGCTGAAGGCATCGAGCTGTCAAAGAAGTAGATGTGTCATTATGCAATAACACAGACTCCAGGGTTTTACTGCAGTTACTGTGTCTCCAGAATTTACATACACTTCTGCCATAAATTAGTTATATGAACAGGCTGGCATCTGTACTCTAATCTCCTGGTTTTATCTGTTCTCCACGAGCCTGTCCACTGTGGGTAAATATTGCCAGGAGTAGTGTTAAGCTTCTATCAGATTATCCGATGAAGACCTCTGCCAGTCCAAGGACTTCACCTGTCTAAAAGTAAAATTCTCTTCTGCACTAACATCCCCCCATGCATATACCACAGAAATTTTGTGACAGCAGAGTTATAACCAAGGCAGCAAGAGCTTGCACCCTAACCAGTCTGACAGTTCGTTTAGAGAAGTACCTCCTTGCTTTCATTGCATTTCATGTGGTTCTTACTGCTGTGAAGATTCATGGAAACAGGCAGATGCAATTGAAGTGTTCTTCAGTGTGACGAGAGGGGCGAGGGAAGCAGACGACACTGGAGGGCGCAGATCAGATGTGTGGTTATGTTCTCAGCACACAGCACGATGGAAAAGAAGGTGCCAGCACCATAAGAAAAGCAACCAGGCTCCTGCTTGATTTACTTTGCTGCCAGATATTTTGGCTTTCCCAAAACCTTCCTCAGATGTCTCCAATGTGCGTAGAGACAGCTGAGCTCTTGTGTAAGCTTAAGAAACCCTGCCCAGACCATCGGGCATTCGCAAGCTGGGTCCCAGCTGGAGCAGGGCACTGGCACCCAGAGAAGCGGGTCCCCGCTGAGGTCCCTTCTGTGGGCCTCCCCCGTCTTTCCCACCCTGCCCCATTTTTGGCTCCTCGTCTGCCATGTGCTACAGCTTCGGCAAACGCATTTTTTCCCCTTATTTTAATGTTCTTGTAAATCAGGAACCACCTGGGAAAGGAGCTCCAGGCCTGGGTGAAGATGCAGCTGTGTTCCTTCCTTTCCAACACAACTTAATATTCTAGACTGATTTAAATATTTATTATCAGAGATTATGGTATTACTACAGCTTTATTAATTTCATTAGAGAATAAGCTGCTGTTAAAGCTTAGTCACAAAGCAAACAGCAGCATACAAATCTTTCTGATTGCCATTAATACGGAGAAGGCACGGATCAGGGGCAAACACTGCGCTTTTTTATTTGGCACAGGCCAGGTGTTTACCACTTCAGTGTCCAAAGAAAAACACTGCCTTGAATTTGGAGCCTCAGATCTCACAACAAAACTCAGAAAAATCAGGTTTTGAGGGCTTTTACACCCTAGGACTGCCATGTTTTCTGGAATAATGTATTTGTGTGGGTTTCACGGCGTATTTAACGTTTGCATGTTCCCATTTGGCAGGTGGACAGTGCCATGTCTCTTATCCAAGCTGCCAAGAACCTGATGAATGCAGTGGTGCAGACCGTGAAGGCCTCCTACGTGGCATCCACCAAGTACCAGAAGTCGCAGGGCATGGCTTCGCTCAACCTTCCCGCCGTCTCTTGGAAGATGAAGGCTCCGGAGAAGAAACCCCTGGTCAAGAGGGAGAAACAAGACGAAACCCAAACTAAAATCAAGAGAGCGTCCCAGAAGAAACACGTCAACCCGGTGCAGGCGCTCAGTGAATTCAAGGCGATGGAGAGTATTTAAAGAGAGGTCTGCCTTGGTTCTTTCTTTCTCTAGCCCACTACTGCTACTTCCAGAACTCTACTTTTAATATTCTAAGGATTTTTCAAAAGTTTACTATTCCTCAAAATGTATTTACTTAATATAATTTTGATAACTTTGTTTAGATTATGTGGGGAAATACTCAAATTTTTAAGTCCTATCAAATATAGCTTCAGCCTGCAGAAGTGTGTTAATTTAGATTGCTTTTAGATTTCAGGGGTGTATTTCTAGCAGAAAATTATTTTGTATAATCTTGCTTTAAATAAAATATTCTATAACCAAAGAGGTTATTACAGTAACACTAACAGTTAACACTAATAGCTGAATCATGCTACTCGGAGACTGCAGTTTTTCATTGTGATCAAGAGAGGAAAATTAGATCTTTTCAGTCGAAAAAAGTTAAATATTGTATGTATTAGTGTGCTCCTGCTGTTGGGGTGGAGAGGGAACAAGCTCTGTACGCTCAAAGGAGCAGGAAAGTACAGCAAGCGCTCGCCGTGCTGCTGCGACAGCTGGAAAACATCTGGAAAAACCACTTGCCCTTGCCTGGGTTGGACTGCGCTGGGGGTGGCATTTGGTGGTGCGTGGTTGTGTGATGCTCCTGGGCCACGGGTGGCTCCCGTGGGTGCCCAGTGTCAGGGGCCCTCCGCCTTTCGGAGGGGTTTTCACACGCGTCTCTGCTGGGGAAGCACCCCCAGCAATGCAGTCCAGCACCACCCGGCGTGGAGGGGCTGATTACTCCTGTGTGACACCGGATGGGAATTGTAATGCCTGGTTACAAATTACTCGTGTATTTTGCTGCAGGACACTAATAAAGTTGCTTTTCCCAGCCGGTGCTTTGTGGTGCTGTGAATGGAGCGGCTCAGCCCGCCCCTGCTCCCCCTCCCCGCCATTCAGATGCAAATCGGCTTTGTGCTCATTTCTCATAATTGCTCCGCATCCCGCCCTGGGCTTCCAAAGGCACCCAGCAAAGAATGTTTGCTCAGGCTGCAATTTAGCCTATACATTATTTGTGATAACTGTAGCTACAAGGTATAATTTCACTGTCTTATTTAAATCTTAGGAATTTCAGTGTGTTCTACACGTACCCATAAAGTCCGGTATTCGAGAAGCGCTGGTGCAGGTCACAGTCATGTTGCTGTTTCTGTAGCAGTTAATGTTTGAAATGGCATCTGAATTTCAGAGCTGATCCTTGGCAGTGTAATGGTATAATTTTATTTGTCTTCATCAGTTTATCATTTACTCTATCAAGGTTACTGCTGCCACGTCACCAATGTGCTGATCAGAACTAAGATAAATATTTCTTGCGATATTTTTGCCAAATTCATTATGTTTTCAAGCATTTTAGCCTGTCGAGGTAACAAACAGCTGAATTGCATGTATACACACTAGTTGTTATATGCCTTTGGCATCTAAACAGGCATCTCTGGGAGGGTAGCCTAACGTGTGCATCCCGCTGATGCTCAGGGGTTAATGGAACAGGTAAGCTGTAGCTCTTGTCTTATCTGTTCTTATTAACTGCTTTTATGCAACAGGATTTTTTTCTTTCCTGGTGTTAATAAGGTCACATTCCCTGGGCTGTGCTCAGTGGCTCTCTTCAAAATAAATACATTACTCCCTTGCTAGAAATGCGTTTGTTAACAAGCTTTAAAGAACGACCCAAACCTTTTGAGCATCAATTTGGTGACAAATTAGGAAGCGGTTTCGGCTGATGACTGGCTGGGGGGCAGGAGGTGGGGGAAGCTCCGGCCTCTTCACTTTGAGAGGCAGCCGTGGGGAATGGGAGGGCAAAAGCCCCAACTCTCACCCACAGAGGAGATACCTCAAGTAAATCACTAATGGCTGTAACTTCCTAATTGCTCTGGTCAGGAATACAATACATGGGCAGGGGCTGAGGGGAAAGGAAAACCCCACCTCCCCAAAGCAGAAGAATTTGGTGTTATATTAAAGCCAATCTTCAGTTTCTGTGCTGCGTGTGGTTACCAATGCGGGTGCTGCTCCCCAGGTGCTACGGACGCTGGCTCAGCGAAGATCAGCTCTGGAGCCGGGCTGAGCGCCTGTGCTGCCCGTTACAAAGCTCCAACAGTCAAGCAGGCGACCTTGGCTACGTGGAGGGGCCTGCTGTGGATGAGTTTTAATTGCATCATTGGGGGGACAGGGCTTTGTAGATCTGTGAGTTGTACGTGTCACCAAAACCCAGATCGTGTGGGCCTGGAGGAGGCAATTCCTCATTTGAGAGTGACCCCAAAACCCCTGGTACCTCGGAAGGAGCCTGGCACAGGAGCAGCGCCAGCTCTTGCCCATGTTGCCCTGAGTGAAGCAGCAGCGGTGCCTGTGGCTTGTTCAGCACCGGCCCCCAGCGATGCTGCGAGCAGGTGACTTGGTGGTTTAAAACAGTGACTGTGCTGATCCCGCTGCACTGGGTCATTTCGGTCTTCATCAAAACCTCCTGTGTCAAAGTGGCAGCGACGCTTCAGGGCAGCGGTGCTGCGCTGCACAGTGAGGAGGGTCCGGACACGAGCGAAGCTGTAACTTTGTCAGCCAATTGAAAGGAGTTGCAGTAATTAGTGCTTGAGGTAATTAAGCGCTAGGGAAGGGTTCCTGCCGTTGGTCTCCGCTGCGGCTCCTCCTCGTTTCAGAGTGTAAGAGCTGTGTGGTGCAGGGTGGCAAAGCTTTCCTGCCTCGGTCCCCAGTGGTGTGCAGTGAGCAGAGCCTTTCAGTCCCTTCCCCTGCAGCTCCACATTGCTCCCCATTCAGTGGGAGAAGAAATCCAGGGCTCCAGGGGCTGGGGATGGACGGGACCTGCAGCAGCTTTGGGCAGGGAAGGGCTGAAGAGGGACCTCCCTGACCTCCAGCGTGCGTGGTTGAAGCAAGGCACGGCTGCTCTAAAACACACCAAAGTATTTGTTGAAGAGGAAGGAGTTGGGTTTTGGGGGTTTTTTGCGCTGCTGTGGGATGGCAGCAGCTGGGGAGGCCGTGCCCGAGCCCAGCAGCACTGCAGCCCCCCTGTCCACCCTGCGAGCAGGGACCTGGCTGCACAGGGATGCTCAGGAAGATGAACCTGCATCATCCTTTAAAGTGTATTAGTGAAAACACATTAAATCCCCAGGAGACACTCTCATTCCAAATTTCAAGTGCTCTTAATTCAATTCAGCGGTGAATCAAGCCATGTTGAATTTATGCCGCTTTAATTGCGTGTGAAGGCTTTGCGCTGAGTTTAACGCCAGTTAACGAATGCCTTTCCATTCGGGGCTCTCCCTTCACCTGCCCGGCTCCGAGAGGGGCAGCCATGGGCAGGGGGATCTCAGAGCTGCATGGTGGCCCCAGGGCTGCATCCTGCAGGCTTTGGCCAGCGCTGGTGTCACAGCACTGACACCCAATGGGCTGCTGCTCAAAAACCTCCTAGTTTTAGTACTTTCAGGATTAGGACGCGGGGTTTTGGGGAGATGAACAGTGAGGGCTGGTCCAGCCAGATCGCTGCTGCTGCGGGTTTTCTCCCTGCTCAGCCCTTAAATAGGTGTTAAACCACCCATAGCTCATTAAACCCAGCTGCCAAACAGCGACCAGACGAGGCAGGGCTGAAGAACTCTGCACACCAACACCCTCAACACCCTGTGCGCCAGCTCTGCTCCCCGGCTGGAGCCCCGCGGGTTTGCTCTTCGCAGAGAAAAGCCCCTCCCCGGGACTGCCCCGGCCACTGACCTGGGATGCGTGGAATTTTTTTAACCTACAAAGCAAAACCTGGCAGGACTGGCTGGGAAATAAATACATCTCAGAAAAAAAGAAATAAAGACCAATCATTTTTAGCCCAGCGAAACGGCCTGAACTGAAACCCAAACCCAGAAGGACAAAAAAATACCACCACCCCAAATCAATACTATAATCAGCCCTGCTACTTACCAGTGACAACTGACACTGCAGGGGGTAGCCAGGAACATTTTGGAGCACCGAGGGAGGCTGATGGCCCCCTCGATCGCCTGCCGGGCCTGGCATGGGGAGGTCCCTGTCTGGGTTAGCGGGGTGGGGGGGGATAAATCCCGCAGTTCCTCGCGAAGCCCCAGCAGCGTTTGCTGCGTGGGCACAGCCCGGGCCCAGCTCAGGGCTGGGGGGACAGTGGAGGCCACTCTGAGTTTTTAATGTCTTTTTCTGCACTTGGCGTTGCCAATGTTGATGCTGCAGCCCCGCGATCACTCGAAGCCAGCGGCCGAGCAGCAGTGAGTGCAATACCTGTTATTGCCAGGGAGCAGCTGTGAAAGTGAACACAGGAATTACAAACAATCACCGCCTCGCCGCACTGGGAGCCGGGCGTGCGCCAACGGCAGCGCTCGCAGCACTCTGGGGCCAAGAGCTTTGCAGCCTGGCGCTGAGACGCCCCAAAGCTCGCTCTGCCGTCACCTCGGTCGCTGCGCTGGGCAAACCTGTGCAGAAAGAGCTGCTGGCCCCCGCCCCAAGCCACCCT